ATCTGCCACACCTATTCAAACAGAGCATTCTGATGAGGGGGTTAAAAACAGGACAGAAAATAGCCTATTACTTCTAATTTATGATGTTTTGTTATGTAAAAATCTTGATAACATTATAAGTGGACCTCAGAGAACAGTACAAAATAAAACAACAGAGGCAGTTCATGACTCTTTTAAGTGTGAACAGAATATAATGCTTTCAATCACTTAATTGCATCTTAATTATTATTTAGGTTCAAATTTATATTAAATGCAATTGGCTGAATTTTAGAATGCTTTTTTTACTCACTTAAGTAGGACTTAAGTACATTTTATATGTAATTTCATAATTCTGTTGTCTTTGAGATATGGTTAAAGTGTTACTGCTGAATTTCGCTCTATGGCCACACGTATGCGGCAAGAGTACCTAAAAGACCTGGCGGAAAACTACGTCACCACAACACCCATTGATTCTTCCACCAAATTCCCCCTGCTGTCGCTGGGCGGGAAGCGCAAGGAGAAGCTGAAGGGAGCGAAAGGTGCAGAGCTTCACAGCGCAGGTGCTTTAGTGTGGGCCGTCACCGTCGTTCAGGGTGGCGAGAACAACGGTCTGAGCCTATCCTGTCTGCTCGGCGTGTCGGCGGAGTCGGTCGTGCTCATAGAGCGATCCACGCGAACCGTCGTGTTTAACTGCAGCTGCCGCGATGTGATCGGCTGGAAGGCCGTGACCGAGTCTGGAGCTCAGGGTGGCCCTTCGCTGGATATCTTCTACGAGAGAGGCGAGGCAGTGACTGTGACGACGTCAGAAAGCCAAGTTGAGGATATTAAGGAGGTTGTCCAGAGGCTGGAGGTGAGATTTACTGTAATATATGAATAAAACAAAGAATATTGGAGTATGTTTTAAAAGAAACTACTACTTCAGTCTTTCTACTTCAGATTTCATGTTTAAATCTTTCCCCGCCAAACACTGAATTTTCCAGGTTTCCATGTTTTCATTGTTATACGCTAGGGGGCGCTATTACACATCTCCTGAACGAGTCTAGAAAGTGCCGATCAAAAACACAGACCAGGAAGACGCAGAAGCGAGCATGTTTGCGAACATGTATGCAAATGCGTATGAAAAATAATGCGATCATCAACACTTATCGCATATAAATGAAAACTACAAATTTGTGTCCTATCTAAAGTGTGGAAAGATTCTCCATCCCTCCCCGAGAATGGCAGAGCCTTTTCCACCACCCAGGTTTATCTTGCAGCAATAGCAACCTGTTATGTACTGGTTTATGAAAGTTGTTGGCTATTGAATTACTTTAAGCCGACGATTCTAGTATGAGATCTGTCCATGGTCCTGAAAGCACAGTCTCCGCCGCCATTCAAGTATGTAAAATCAAATATATAAAAAACAACAAGCTGTTGTACCCCTAAAGGTACTGTTTATTTGTTCATCATGATTGTATTGCATTGCATTATACAGTCAAACCAAATATTTTTCAGACACCAGATATAATTTTTTTTACTAGTGGGTGCAGGACACTATAGTTCATTTATGTAAGTGAGGATAGCAAAATAAAGTAAACTGTGACATATTATACCCCAAAATTCTTCATACAGTGGACTACCAGTAAAATTGATAAAAATGTGGGACCAAAAATTTGTTCAGACACTTTGACCTGTGTGAAAGTGTTTTTTCTTTAATTGCTAATGCAAACTTTTTACACCACAGACTAACCAAATTTAAGCATTTCTTGGTAATTGGTTGACCTAAATTGGTATTATCTAATTGTGTACTTAAATTTAACAGCTGACAGCTATTCAGCCGAATTCATTTGTGAGACAGTCTAACAGAAGGATGGCATTATCAAGATGAATTTGTTCTGGCACAGTTTAACTCTGAGTTATTGTCATATTTTATTACCATTTTCTAAACTATAGTGAAAAAGGTGTCTGAATAAATTTTGGTTTGACTGTATGTTTAGATCATCAAACTAAGCATTTAAATATCATCTTAAATTAAATATTATTGGAGATATAGGGTGACATCTGATATTTATATCATTTTATGCAAGTATGTGCTATACTGTTATCTCTGTTATACTACTAATATTATCTTATTTTTTTACAAGCTATCAGAATTTCATCAACTTTTTGTCCATACAACTATCAGCATCTGCACCAAGTTGCATATTTTTGCTCAGTTTGAGTCTATGAAGAAAACTGAGCTGTTTTTTCCTCCATATTCTCACTTTGTCAGACTATATAAGCTATAAAACCTGATATGTGACCCTGGACCACAAAAACAGTCATAAGGGTCAATTTTTCAAAATTCCCATTGATGTGTGGTTTGTTAGGATAGGACAATATTTGGCCGAGATACACAAATATGATACTTAACAAAAAAACTAAAAAAAAAAAAAACCGTTGTGTCTAATGGTTTATTATTTGATATGTCCAGCTTTACAGGGTTAAGACTTGGAGCTCTTTATAATGTGCTGTGTGCCGTTTTAACATGATGCTCCTGTACTTCCCCGCAGCTGGTGACGCGAGGCTGTGAGGCGCGTGAGGTCACTCCCCTGCGGGACGGTGTCGGCCAGCCGGGCTTCCTGATGAGCGAGGAAGGCTTTGTAACGGAGCTCCAGCGGTTCGGATACGCGGAGAGCGGTCCTCCAGACGAGAACGGAAAACCACGCAGGTAATAGAGGTGACGGGTTATGAGGAAGTGTGTGTCAGAGGAAGTGGATAAAATGGGGGGATGACGTAAAGAATGCATACACTGCAGTGATTTTGAGAGAAAAGTGGGCTGACGAGTTACAAATAGTAAGCAGTGGAGTGCTGTTAATAATGTAATTAATAAATGTAATGTGTATCCCGTCAAAAACCACCTCAAAAGTTTAAGGTTGATAAGGGATTTTATTTTACATTTTTGAAAGAAGTATCTTTGCTTCCCAATATGAAAGCCAGAGTAATTTATCATATATTTGATCATTTCCAGAATTAAAAAAAGGTTTTATCTCACAATTCAGAACTGTGAGATATAAACACAGAATTGCAAGAATTCTCAGAATTCTCAGTTTGCACCTCATGATTCTGTTTTTTCTCTATATTTTTTCCACGACAAAAAAATGGTAATGTGACATTTTATCTCACAATATGCTATTGCAATGCAATTACCTTTTAAATTTTCTTTTTTTTTTAATCCCATGGTGGAAACAAGATTCCATATACCAAGGCTGCATGTATTTGATAAAACATACAGTAAAAACAGTAATTTTGTGAAATATTATTGCAATTTAAAAGAACTGTGTTCTATGTAAATATGTATTATAAATTGTAATGTATTTCTATGATGCAAAGCTGAATTTTTTTATTACTCCAGTCTTCAGTGTCACATGATCCTTCAGAAATCATTCTAATATGCTGATTTGCTGCTGAAATTATTACCAATTATTATTGGTGCTCCATAATTAATAATTATTCTTATTATTGTCAATGTTAAAAAAAGGTTTTTGCTGTTTCATATTTTTATGGAAGCAATTTTTCCCTCCAAGGATTCTCCGATGAATAGAAAGTTATAAAAACAGCATTTATTTGAAATAGAATCTTTTTTGTTGTGTTATAAATGGCTTTACTGTCACTTTTGAGCAGTTTAATTCCACAAACATTTTTAAATTAAGTTTAATTTAAGTAGTGAAAATAATTAGGCTGACAAACTTGATTGCAATTGCCGTGGACTGACAATACATTGACTTTTAAAGCCAGTTTTTGTAATATCCGTCCAATACATTACTCATCTGCCACAATTATTATACTGCCACTTGAATGATATATTATCTAATTACCTATTGTCTACCTAATATCTTCTTATCTATTATCCAATTATCTATTTGTACGTATGCATTTGTATTGTATATTTTTATCTATGCTCCCTAGGGAGGGAAACAGATGGATAGAGAGGAGGAGGGAGCATATGAATAAAGGACAGACCTCATTATATTGACATGAACATGTTTTAGTCAGTGTTTCACCAGCTGCTCAGATCTCATTCAGCTCTCATAATGCTTATTGATCCATCCAACACACACACACACACACACACACACACACACACACACACACACACACACACACAAACACACACACACACATACACAGAGCATGGGTTAAAATGGCATTTTGTTCAAAAGTGACTTATTCAACATGCTTTACGTAAGTCTTTGATTATATAATATACTTCAAAAAAAGAACACCAAAATAGCAGCATTGATCTCTTCATCCATGACTGACAGTGAAATGCACACGCAGAAATAAATGAGCTAAAACTTTCTTTGTTGTTCTTCACGTTCTTTTGCCGTTGTTCTTGTGCTTGTCTGAGTTCAGGAGTTTCTCTGAGCTCTACCAGAAGGCCATCCAGGACGCGGAGAGCAAATCCGGAGAGGGACGGTCAGGCGAGGCCTGGGTTCTGGATGACGATGAAGAAGTTGAGGTTGATGGCGGCGGAGGAGAGAAAGAGGAGAAGAAACAGATTGAAAATAAGACGACAGACAGGGAAACTCCAAAGCAGGAGATACACGAGGAGCAGATGAGATTTCCAGAGCCCATGGAAACAGATTCGCTCCTCTCTCCACCCAGCCTGCCTCTCTTACGGGCGACTTCCCTGCAGGACAGCATGAAGAACCAGAGCCCTGAAGTCACCCCCGTCTCTCTCACACGGAGCTACTCGCTAGAAGGACACGCTCCGTACCAGGACATCATTGAAGGGTATGCCGATTTCTGTTAGCCTACATCTCATTTCACTCAAGAACTGTGTACTCCTTAACCAACAGATTAAATCAGGGTTCTAAAATTACCTTTTTGCAACAGTGTTGTTTTAGTGTTATTTATATGTCATTATAGTTTTATTAATGTTTTGAATTAGGTTTTATTTTTGTATTTTCAATTGGCATGTTAATTATAATGCAAGTAGTTTTGAAATGTGCTTTTGTCATTTTTTTTTTACTATTTTCTTTTTTTTTTAATATTTATCTTTAATTTATGTTTATTTTAGTTTTAACAATTTTAGTACTTCAACTTATTTTATTCCATTTAGCTGCGAAGGCAACATTTCAATTTTTTTGTTTACTCTAAAATGATTAAAACTACTCTTTTTTTTAAGTTTCATTACTTAAACTACTAAATGTTTAAAGTTAAGTTTACATTTAAGTTTTCATCTAATATCTACAGTATATATGTTTTTCTATTTTAACGAAAAATGATTTTTGATTGTTTTAGTTTTAGTTAACAATAAACACTGACTATACCGTTTCTTAACTTTTTTAAAAAAGTGCACTTTGTAATAATGACAAATTTAAAGTAAAGTTTTTGTTGTTTTAGTTTAAAAGAAAAATTTAAATCCATTGTCTTAATAATCTTTTATTATTCTATAAGGAAGTACTTTTGATGCGTTGACTAACATACTAAATCACATGTAAAGTACTTGATTATATGTGTTATTGGATATTATATTTTAATGTTAGTTCATTTTAAATGTAATAAAGTGCAATTTCATTATTTCAAATATATTTAAATCCATGACATGCAAGTTTCAGTAGAAATGACATTAAAGGATAGTTTATCATAAATGCTTGCAACTACATTCAGCAGTACTTTAACCATATTTCAAAAACAATAGAAGTATTTATAAAATTACATATAAAGATGTACTGAATGAGTAAAAAAAACACTTTGAAATTTAATCTAATTGCATTTAATATGTTATTTCATATAATAATTTTTTTATGTAATTACAGTTAACATGCATGCTTAAAACATTAAATTCTATTCTAAACATTAAGTCTATTATTGCAGTAATAAGTACTCTAATTAAATTAACCAAGAATATGTACGACCCCTTTAATTGGAAAGCGTTCATATTTATAAGCACAATAGACAACACAGAACTTTTCCATGACATTCTAATTTATTGAGATGCACCTGTATTTCACAATGAGATTCAATTCAAGTTGAGTTGTTTTTTTTTATTTTTTATTTTTTATGCATTAATAGGTTATGTAAATGCTTCTAGTGTTTCTTAGGCAAAAAAAAAAAACACAAACTACTTAAGAATGTTTTTGCACCAAGCAACTTGAAAGTAAACACATTAAACCCATGTACTTGGAAATGTAACAAATGCAATGTGTTGATAAAATATTTTAGAGCTAAATAAAACACAACAAAATTACTAAATGACTATACTAAAATTAAATCTAAATGGCTGTACTAAAATGAAAACGAATTACTATTATAAAATATTTGGAAATTATTCCATATTCCATTAATTTTACAAAAAAAAAGAGAGAGATTTTAAGAGTTTTCTCGGTCTGGAAATAACAATTTTAAAATTCCCTATTATTCTGTGAATTGCTTGTTTCAGTCAAGCATTGATTTTAAAAGCTAAAAAATGAATGAAAGTAATTTTGAACCAAAATTATTATAGTTAACTAAAACTAAAACCATAAACATTAAAAATGACTTCAAATTAAAATAAAATATTTAAAAACTTAAATGTATTTTTTTAGCTAGTTCCCAAGGCAACATTTCTAATTTTCATTTAGTTTAACTTAAGTACTAAAATAACTAAAATAAAAATTAATAAACTAAAACTAAAAATTAATAAAAAAAAAACAGTATATACATATTTAAGAAAAAACGCATCCAATTTACTAAAACTTTAACTAAAATTAAAGTTGAAACTAAAAATATTAAAAACTAATTTAAAATATTAATAAACCATAATAACGTATTTTAGAGCCAAGCACACTTAGGAAAGTATTCCATATATCTTTTTTTTTTTTTTTTTCCAATGAGATTTCTCGGTCTGGAAATCATCATAATTAAAATTCCCTACTTTTTCCCTGACCGTGGCAACCCTGATTTTAGCGTTTACATATTTTAAAATATTGAATGATACTTACCAAGATCACTGTTCATTCATATTTTAGCATTTTAAATAGATTCTCGACCAAAACAAATAATTCACGATTCTGAAATCCATGTTTCAAGATTAATGCAATTGCATTTGTAATCGATGCATGGTGAAAACACGTGAATCGTTACACGTCTAATTGTGCAGCTTACTTAGAAACAATACTAAGGACATGAACACTTACAGAAGAGCACAATGCATTGAAGCACCTGAATCATGGCATGATGTGCTGCTGTTGTGCTCAGTATCTGTCTCCCACACAGAGGGCATCTGATGGATCCGCTTGTGTAACTCTCTTTATTTGGAAAGTGATTGCTGTGTTTTCAGAAGGGTTTTAACCTCTCAGATCCGTCTCCCACTCTCTCTCTCTCTCTTTCCTTCCTTTCTGTTCCTCCCACTTCATCCTTTCCCTTCTTCCCCCTCATAAAATCACTTTCTCTCACTCCCTCTATTTCCTGCGTTTTATCTGTTCATATTTATCATACTTTATCTTCTGTCCAACTGAGTGCATTGAGTAAAAATTATTTGTTGATTTTTTTATTAGTTAGTTAGTTGATTGCTGTTTTGATCCTTTTGTTTTTAACTCAGACTTTTCAGTAATTAAGTGTAAATTAAATGAATAAATAAACTTTTGGTTTGCATCCATCAAATATTCAAATAAATAAATAAATACTCAATGTACTTACTACTTAGTGGGACAAAAGAGAAAGTATGATCATGTATGATATGTGATAAGAAAATGAAGGAAATGTTTGTTTGTTTTGAGTCTTTTATTTTTAATTCAGTATAAAAGCTGTATGTATATATATATATATATATATATATATATATATATATATATACATACATATATATATAAGAGAGTTTATAA